TAAAGCATAAAATCAAAAGGAAGGAGTAAAAAGCAGCCACACTTAAGTCTGGTGGGGAAAGTCTTAAAATGACACACAGGTGAGACTTCCTGGGCCAGTGGTTCTCAACCAGGGACAACTTTGCCTCCCAGAAGATGTCTAGCAGTGTCTGGAGATTTATTTTTTTACCTGTAGGAAAATATATAACATACAGATTTGCCATCTTAATAATTTCTAAGTGTATAATTCAGGGGCTTTAATTACATTCACAATATTGTCAACCATCACCACTGTGTGTTTACAAAATTTTTTATCACCTCCTACAGAAACTAACCATCAAAGCAGCAACTCGTTCTTCCCCTGACTCCCCTCCCTGGGGGAAACATTTCTGAATGTGAGGACTGTTTTTCAGTGGGGGCCAGTGCTTCTGGAATCTACTGGGTAGAGGCCAGGGATGCTACTCAGCAACCTACAACGCACAGGACAATCCTTTGGGACAAAGAGCTATCGTGTCCAAAACGTCAATATTGGCAAGGTTGAGAAAGCCTGCCCTGGGTTGAGACGGGCATCCACACAGGAACTGATTACACTGCACGGGTTCTACTGCAACTCTGAGGATTGCGTAAGATCAGGAGGGCCTTAATTTAGATACAAGTACGTGCACACTGGGGGCCTCTGACAGATTCCTCAGCTGCTACTCCTCCTAGGAGGCGGGACTCTGTGTCAACACGATGACAGCTTCTTCTAATGCTCAGGTTATCAAAAGGATGCCCAAGGGTGAGGTCATAGCAGAAATGTCCCTCTGGAACAAAAGCACATAGGGAATGGGTAGCTGGTAAGAACGATAGCTCTGGGGAATGCAAGACCACTTACAAAGGTGAGCTTTGCCTGGGAGCTCCCATCCAGACACTAGGAATATTTCACGAGCACGGCAACAGCACATTGCCACGTAAGGGCACACAGCACCTCCAGGCAAGGTCTCCACTCCCACCCTATCTGTGGGACCCAGAGCCCAGGTCAACACTGATTCACATGGTAACAGAGACAAAGAAGTGAATGACTCATCAACAAATAGAGTAGTACAGGGATAAATTCTAGAGTATGTATGTCAGGGGCAATTCTGCGCAGCTCAAAATTCTCCTAAAAGCAAACATCTCGGGTCTCAAACAGTCCAAAGCAAAAGAAAAAAAGTACAAGACAGTATTTCCTACAACTGAGCCCTAGGTCAGCTGTACTCAGAAGCCACACTGTACATAAATCATTGTGTTTTTAAGATGCTGGACCTCACTCAACACAACAGACCCACACTTTGAAAGGTGCACAGAAACTTTTCCCAAGAGCGGGACTGGCAGGTTCACAGCCTGGGACCAAGCTACCCTGGGACAAGTCCTTGCTGAGTGGAAAGGCAGGCAGACTCACCTGGCTGAATGATCAACGCTGCAGGTGAGCAGTCTCCGCAATATGTGGTGTGCACTATTCCGTGCCAGATATCCTGCAAGCCTAAACAGCTCAAACTGCAGCTTGAGTCCTGGGTGAGGATGAAACCCATTCCAGAACCATCCAGCGAGGCTGCAAAGCCAGGATCAGGCACCACCATTCACCATCTGAGCCTGGCTTCTCCTGCCCGTACCCTGACCACTCTGGTCTCTCTCCTGCTAAGGGCAGATCTAGTACTGTCATCATCATTTCCCTGTTTCTTTGATATGCAATGTGGAAATTAAAAGTACACATCTTGAGAAATCCTTAAAAAGGCCCAGACTATTGAAAGCTACCGAAGAACCAACCCTCCCTCGTGGCAGGGGGGCCCTGTCAGTGGTGAGTGGCCGAGAGCCCAGGTTCGGGGGCCAGTCTGACTTGGATTCACACTCAGCTCTGTCGCACACAAACTTAGAGGGCAAGCCACGTCACCTCTGTGCCTGGTCTCGTCTTAGTTACGGTCTCCTCCTGCAGCTAGGAGGAGGGTTAAATGAGAGAATCCAGGGGAAGGGCTTAGCATAGACACTGACCCACTCAAAGCGCTCAATCACACCGTCAAGTGCTTTCACTGTCTGAGCACAGACGCGGAATGGCCTCTCATCTTATCCAGAAAACAGCTTGAGACCTGCATCTTCACAGCTCTCGCCATCACAGATCCTGAACTTGAAAGAATGTGGTCGGAGTGATCCAGCCACTTCTGTGAACATAACACACACTTCTACCTGGAGCAGCAGCAATGGGCCAGCCACCAAATTAGCTCTCTAACACTTGTTCCCTCCATAGATGTCTCTCCACCTGGGGACAGTGATGGCTCCTTGTTTCTACATGGCACAAGGCAGAGCATGGTGGCTGACGGTGCTAAGAGATGCTACGCCTTGGTTTGAGTCCTGGCTCCAACATTCCCCGGCTACATGACCTCAGGGCAAGGGAACTTCTCTATGCCTCAATTTCATCACCTGCAAAATGCAGATCATAATCACACCTACCTTGGAGTTACTTGAACAATGCCTGGCAAAGAAAGCAGTGCTTTTCTGTTTTGGTTGGTTTGTTTTTTTTTTCTTTTAAACAAAAGAGATGGTCTCTGAGACCAAGTTTAGGGTTTCTCAAATCCAACTCATCTCCCCACCCCTACCCTCAGCCTCATTCTCCTCCATATTCTAATTTGGTAGCATCACTGCCTACCCAAGCTAAAAAAAATCTCAGCTCTTCCCATACCTTCTCCTTGGCTTTGCCTCTTCTCCTGCCCCCCTACCTCACCACTCTTCTGGTCCATCAAATGACCAAGTCCTGTCACTTCTACCAAAAACTCTTCCCCTGCCCAGCCGCCAGCAGTGCCTTAGCACAGACCCTCTTCTCATATATAGATCCCTACAACCCCTCCTGACAACCATCTGACACCAGTCTCACCCCCTCTCTAACCCATCCTCCTGCAGGCTCCCACCAGATTCACAGGGACACCAATCTGATCATGTCCCTCTCCTCCCTTTAAACCTTCGATGGCTCCCCACTGGTCCTTCCAGGAGTGTGCAAAGCCCTCAACAGTCTGGTCCCAGTCTCCCCATTTAGGCTTCACTCCTACCATTAACCTACACATACTCTGTGCTCCAGCTGTGAGCAACGTGGCTGCCTCAAAAAAACGTCAGATGTTTTCACCATTCTGCGCCGGTCCCTACGCTCTGTTCTGACAAGAGCTCCTCCCACAAGGTCCCACTCCTCCCCTTGGACCCAGCTGCAAGGCCGCCACCACTCTTAAAGCTTTCTTTCTTCAGCCTGTAGCAACCTCCTCACTGCTTCCTACCAGCCGACTATCAACTCTCAAGTGCAGGCAAGGGTCTTGTCCTTCATCCGTGCCCCAAGCCTCTGGGGCACAGTGTCTATATACAGTAGGCATTGAATAAGCAAGCAATCTGGCATACGGAAGAGACACTGAAAACACTTATCAGATTTAAAGGTATCGTACCACCTTTCTCAGTTAAAAACTGTCCAGGTTCCAAATACAGAATCTTGAAAATACAGGGGCAGAGAACAAGGCAGGAGGTTCTAACCAGGAAGGCATTGCAGGATGCCTACAAGACAAAGGAGCCTGAGGATCAGCCTTGAGCCTCTTCAAAGGCCAGCACTGAGTTGACGAACTGGTGTTAGCTCTAATGCCCCTTGATACTACTGAAAACAGGATGTAAGCAAGAGGCTAGGGTCTCTCTCATGGAGACCCATTCATTACTTTCCCCAAGTTCCAAGTGCGCAAGTTCTCCCCCTAGAGGTGATCATTGGGAATGCACACCTATTCTAAAAAGGTGCCTTTTTCCATCTTTCCAATCTTACCACTGAACTCACAAGTGTCTGTTGCATCAAAAGGACCCTAAGCATACTCAATGCACCGCAGGGCTGATAACAGTCTAGCTGGCACCCATACATCTTCGCACAAAGGCAAGGCACTAGCCTAGTGGATCCCCTACCCACTGCAACCCCACCAACAGGCAAAGGGCACTGGGTAACAGGAACACTGGTAAGTCAGGACTTGTCCCCAGCTTGGCTACTTCAACCAACCTGATGTACAGATATCATAACCACAGTCAGACACACTCAGCTATAAGCCCTACCAAGTCTTACCATGACCTGGAGCTTTACCTGCATTTTCTCTGGCACAGGCAAACAGCCAGGAAGCTGGGTACTGCCAGTCAGCAAGCAAGGTGGCAGTTGATCAAGTCTCTGGAGGAAGATGTCTGCTACACCCTACCAGCCCCCGCCAGCTTGGGTGCCGCATGTTTTCTGCCTGATCCCTCTGTACCCAGCATCCTGCGTGCAGTCTCATCCAGGCTGGCATGGAGACAAAATCTCCCACCGCACCCCAATACCTTATCACACTAAGAGCTAGACAACGTCACCAAAACCCACTATGGAGAGATGACTTAATGCATGGCTTTCTGCATTTTTCCCCCCAACCTATGGAAATGCAAACTCCCTGCCCCACCCATTCACTAAAGGTGCAACTTCCCCTCCAAGCCGGCAGAAGGCAAAAGGATCAGAGCTCTTGGCCCCTCAGGTTTGCATCTGCTTTCCACAAGACACGTGGGGGTGACTAGCCATGATAGACTCGAAACGCCCCGCAGCTGTCTCTGGGGACAATCTTTCAGGAATTCCCCCCGAGGTTATGCGCTTCTTAGGTCGTGCATCGCTTAAGGAGATCCTAAAAGTGGGATCTAAAGTCGGCTGACAGCCAATCTGACAAGCGGTTTTTAACTGAAAGCTGGAACGGACAGGATTTCCGGTCACCCTCCCTGGGAATGTAAATATTAGGAGTTGGAACTTGAGCACAATTCGCTTTCTTGGGGATGGAGACTCCTCCCATTCTCCCTGGCCACGAGGAGCGGACGGGGAGGGGATCGGGGATCCGAGGGGATACACAGAGTGGGGAGAGCTGGGGACCCCCCCACCGACCAACCGGCCAGAGCTCACGGTCCTAGCTGACCTCAGTTTCCCATTTTCTGAAGACGGTGTCCCGTCCGACAGGGAACCGAGGAGACCTGAGGGGCCGGGCCGCTCACCTCTCGCGCCGAGCGGAGCTGCTGGCGCAGCGCGTCCTTGCAGCCGTAGGGGCCTCCGGCGCCCGCGCCGCGGGGCTGGAAGTGCGCCTCGACGCGCGTGGCCCCGCGGTAGGCGCCCTGATAGAAGGAGGGCCAGCCGAGTTCCAGCAGCGGCGGTTCCAGGTCCGACTGCTCGGGGAAGTAGGTGCCGGACGAGCAGTCGTGCGACGAGCCGAAAGAGTCCTCGGCCCCCGCCGCCGCGCCCTCCTCGCCGGGCCTTTCGGCCGCGCGCAGGATGGCGCGCACCTCGTCTGGGTTCAAGAAGCGGCCGAGGCGTTCGCGTCGCAGGAACGCCGAGAAGGCTTCGGGGCCGCCCGCCAGCAGCTCCTCGAGCGCCAAGCGCCGCTCCTCGCTGTACAGTTCGGCCGGGTTGGGCGGCCCACACGGCGACAGGCAGGCGGCGGGCAGTTCGTCCAGGCCATCGTACCTCAAGGCCATGGCGGCGCTCGGACACTACCCGGGTCGGGCCAGTACGGGCGTGCGAGACGCTTTATAGGCACCTTTGAATCTAACCAGCCCGCGCCATTGGCCGCCCCCGCCCAGCCCGGGCTCTTCCATTGGCTGCCTTCTTCTAACGGCACTGTACGGAAGCAGTGCTTGCCTCTACGGCTCCGCCCCCTAACTTGCTATTGGTGCCCCGCGGCCCGGCCTCTCCCCTGAAGCCCCGCCCCCTCCCAGGCCTTCGTAAGACGGCAGCTGGGTCCAGGTTCTCGCTCCAGAGTTGCTTGGTGGAATTTAAATCTTGGCTACTACGTGCCTGCTCCGAGGTAGCGTTCCTGCTCTGGCCCTGGGGGGAGCTGAGTTCATCAAGAGAGCCGGTGCCAGGCCTAAGTGGCCGTGGTACCCGGGGTGGTGGGACAGGCTGAAAGTCTGGATTGAAACCCGAGAGCCCGGCCCCCGCGCCAGCCTGGCGCGCCCTCTGCCGCCCGCCCCACAGCGCGGCCCTTGCAAGGCCCAAGGAAGTCAGGAATGTGCACGCACAGGAGAGGCTGGAACCTGCTGGGGCACGCTGACCCACTGACTGGGCCTCCCCAGGGCTTACAAAGTTTGGGTGAGGCTCACCCATGTTGCCTTTATCCCCAGCACTTAATCATTCATTCGTTCGTTCAAAAATACTGGTCCATCATAATAGCTACTCGTTTGATTGCGCCTTCAGGGTAGCTATCTTTCTCTTCTTTCACCTCACCGTTTTTTGCCTGGCGAACCCCTAACCCTGGCTAAACCCCACTTTCCACCTACTTTCCACCTGCACCCGGGCAGACATAAAATTCTTTAGAAAAGAAAACACAACGATGTCTACCAATTGTGCCTGAAATTCATGGTCTCAAGTGGGCCCTTAAGATTGCTGCTGGCCTACATTTTCCTACGTATACCTCTTCCTCTTTCTTACTCTTAAGAGTTTGCCTCCTATTTCACTGAGGAAAATAGTAGCAGTCAGAGAAGACAGTCCCATATGCTCCCGCCACATCTTCCTCCCTGTCTGTATCTCTGCCCACATACTGGGCCTCGTGTGACTATGGATGAACTGCCCCTGGGCTTGTCTCTGATACCTTGCATTTGAGCAGTAACCACCAATCCCTCTACTACTAAGCTTTTGTCTCCAGCAGTTCTCTCCTCGCTCCTGGATGATCAGTCTCCCCGCTTTACTGTTTCATTCCTATCAGCATACAAATATTCTGAAATATTTTTCACCCTTCAAACAACCCTCTCTTGACCCTACATCCCTCTAGAGCTTCCTCCCTATCTCTCTCACTTTTATAGCATAAAGCCTCAAACGAGCTGTCTATACTTGCCATCTCCAGTCCTTCTCCCATTCTGTCTTGAATCCTGTCCAATCAGACTCATTCCTCACTGCTCAACCAAAACCTTTTGTCATGCTCGTCAGGAGGGACTTCCCTGGTGGTCCAGTGGTTATGAATCCACCTTCAATCCCTGGTTGGGGAACTAAGTTGCCACATGCTGCTACAACTAGAGAATCTGTGTACCCCTAAGGAGAGACACAACTAAGACCCAATGCATCCAAATTAATTAATTAATTAATTAAAAGATCATCATGAGCTCCATAGTGCTAAATCTAATAGCCAATTTTCATGCCTCATTTCCTTTGTGTGAGAAGACATATGTACAACTATAGAGTCTTCATAAATATGAGAGGTTACCACTAGCATTTTAAAAACAATATACTTTTCAAATCAATGAATGTCCACTGCTACACAGGTATCTCTGTTCATCCTCTCTCCCCAAACCCAGCCTGTTTGTGAAGTTTTTCAAGCCCAAGTGTGGGAACTTCTGTGTGTCCCTGTCATGGTAGCCAGCATCCAGAAGGGTCCAAGAGAGCACTCTTTTTCATCCTCTTCCAGGATACCCACAAATTTCTGTATGTGGTGAAAGAAAGGACCACTGTCTGGGACTGTGTAACCCTAGAGCTTATCAATGTCTCCATTGCCTGAGGTCAGAAGTGAGGATAACACAGTCTTACCTCCTGAGTTGTAAAAATGTGAAGTAGTATTTGACTTCCCCACTGTAAACTATATGAGGAGGACAGGGATGGAGTGAGCAGAAGAGAAGGACAGGTCAAGAGAACAGAAGAGAGAGGCAGCCCTGTTACATATGTCATCAGACAAACAATTAAGTGTGGGGAGAGAATGTTATAGGAACTATCACAGGGCTCCATGTTAATTTCAAAAGCAACATTTGGTCGGACGAAGGTCGTTTCTTATTTTTGTTTCGCTGGGTCTTCACTGCGGCGTGCAGGCTTTCTCGAGTTGTGGTGCAGAGGCTTCTCTTGTTGCACACGCAGCATGGGCTTAGTTGTCCTGAGGCATGTGAGATCTTAGTTCCCTGGCCAGGGATCGAACCCTCGTCCCCTGGATTGGAAAGCAGATTCTCAACACTGGACCACCAGGGAAGTCCCTGAAGGTCATTTTCAAATACCCTTCTTTTCTTGATTTCATCCTGTTTCACTTTCTTGCAGTCTAGAAAGATACCTGCTCCATGGCTGAGCCCTCAGGCCTCCCTGTGATTCAGGGGCCAACCAGGAGAGGCCTCTGTGGTGGGGGCAGGGACAGGGAAGCCTCCCCTACCAACTATCCCAGGCATCACCTCTTTGTGAATTCAAATCCTTATAGTTCAAGCAAGCTCATAGCAATGACCACAGCCACACCGAGCAGGTGTTATTAAAAGGAATTTAATTCATCTTAATTAAAAACTCTTTAACAGCCAATTCTGTCACAGGCCTTGGCAAATGGAAGCGACTCCAGGGGCACGCCCCTTTGGGATGTGGTTGAGCCACGGTCTCGAATGGCCCACCACTGCCACGTGTGGCAAGGAGCTTACCTGGAAGTTACTTCAATACAATATCAAAGATCTGCGAGGATTTTTTTTTTAAAAAAGGTTTTAAATATATTAGACTCTCTTGATTGCCATTTTTACACAAAGCTGCTGATACAGTATACAGAGATTTAACTTTTTTTTCACATAAAATACATTTTTCTTAAGTGTTCTCTGTACATCAGTGGCTTCTGGTCTGGTGAATTATTGCGGGGGGGCTGGGGATCTGCAGACTTTTCCTGGGTGCGCAGAGCCAGGCCCCGCACCTTGGCACTCACAGTGCCCATGGGAAGCAGGCCCTCTGACCAACTGGCCAACAAGAGACTCTTGTCGAGGAGTGCTTCTAGCAAAGGCAGTCACTTCTGCAGAGTCACCCACTGGCCACATGACCCTTGGCTCTTAGGTGCCCTGGGGGAGGGGAGGCTGTCCCCAGGTCACAATAGCAAGAGTTAAATAGAGTCCTTCTAGGCATCCTGTAAGAAGTGCGCTTCTGGAAAGCATCCCAGTATTCTGCTCTGGAAAAGCAAGTGGGAGACAGAACTCCAGATCAAAAAGTATCTGACACCAATAACCAAAATGGGTCTCATGTTATGACAAGGCCAGCCAACTAGTGGGTAGGTCAGGGGACACATCCTTGTTAACTTTTCTAAGCCTGCTGAGATTGATCAAACAGTACGGGGCAGTTTCATCAATGCTGCATAATCTGATGGAGAATTACATCCTGAAGTCTTCAGAAGACCTTAGGCTTGTGGTTCATTCAACTTCCTTGAGCTACTAGCCAGCAGCTCAGTCTCTGGCGGGTGTCACCAATTTTCAGGGTGGGAGCAAGGGCCGGAGCTCACATGGAGCTATGTGGCACATGCTTTAGAAACAGCCTCCTTTCATCTGCCAGGAACTGCCACCAGACCTGGGTCTAACCAGGAGCTGGGCATCCAGTCGATCTTGCCAGCTTTCTCCCTGCTCCTTGCTCTCTTATCTGCCAGGAACAGAGGCAGACTTAGGAAAGGCCTTGATGTTAAAGGAGAGGCTCCTTTTCCTCCCACTATCCACTGGTGGGGCAGGAGGATTAGGTAATAAACGAGCAAGAGACAATGAGCTGAAGAAGCTGAGATGCATCTGGCCGCAAATTCCAGGCTCCTAGCTCTTCTAGACACTGACTTCAAACTGCTGTTAGACAGTGCCCAAAAGATGCTGGCTGGAAGGCAGCTATCCTTGAGAGTTCCAGATAAGCTTCAGATGGTATCTACCTGGAACCCAAGACCCAGAATCTCCACCATTTAGTGGCAGATGTTATCCAAGGGTGGCCATGTCAGCAACCTCCAAACTAAAGGAATCCACAGTCCAGGGATTCTCAAGAGCAGAAAAGCAAAGGGTTGATGGACCAGGACACAGCTTTTCTGTCTCTGAATCAAATGGGGGTTGCTGGTACTCGTGGTCCTCCAAGGATGAGAACTGTAAAGAGCAGTGTCCTCAGTCTACCTTATTCCTCCTTTATCCCCAGAGCCTAACACAGTGCCTGGTGAGCCTCAGCTACTCAATAAACTACAGAGTGAAAAACTCAATGACCTTGGCCCCAGCTTGTCCCTCGACACCAAGGAGATCCACAGGGAAAGTTCCCCTGGGACTTGATGGAAATGGTTTATCCCTGACTGAAAATATGAGCTAATGCCCAAGAGCCTGCAGTTGGCTCCTGTCGGGCAATCAGCTGGGATTCCCAGCCCTCTGGGTGGGAGACAGTGGCCCAGGAGGCAGGAAGCAAGGGAGGAAGGGAGGAAATAGCCAGAGGACTCAGAAGGGGCAATAAATGCCTTCAGTCTCTGGCCTCTGAGCAAACAGATCCGAAAACCTGCACGGCTGTCTCCTAGGAGCGTGTGGCTTCCCTCGGGACCTCCCAGCTCATAGCTCAAAATGAATTCCAGTGTCAGTCTCATCTGAACACTGTTTTTAAAGCCTAAAGGTATACGTGTTTTGGATCATTCCTGCCCTGACCCAGTCATAGGATGAGACCCCAGAGATGTGGCAGGCGTCACGCACAGCTGTCTGCAGTCACCTGACCTGACTTTCCACCCTACACTAGATCCGCCCTGAAACTGGGGTGGGAGTTGTCTGATGCTGTGACTCTCCCTGCATCCAGGAGCCACCAGGGGCGGAGTGACTCCTGAGGCCCTGCTCTCCGGCCCAGCTGCCCTGCGCCTGGTGAAGCATCAGCCAGAGCCCTTGGGATCGAGCTCTGCCTCTGGGCTACAGCGGGCCTGGGGGCCACAGTGGAGGACTGGGACAAACAGCGGATCCCCTTACTAGCGTTGTGGCACAAGGGGGGCCCCCCCAGCCCCAACCTCTGGCCCAGATGTCTCACAGGGAGAATTTCTCATAGGCTCAGAAAGAAAAGGATTAAAGGAAATCCAGATTTGTCCCCCAAATTTCCGAATCTGGACCTAAGGGGCCCCCTTCAGAGCTCTAAAGAGGTAGTTTTTGGACAAGTAAAAGGCGCGCAGAGCAGGAAACAGACCTGCAGCTAGTTAGTTACACCAGTAAGCTTTGGCCAAGCCCGTGGACAGTGCCCAACTCGTGGGCAACAATTTCAAAGGGCTCATGACAGGATGCAGTGGAGAGGTGGCAGACATCCTGTCCCTCGTAGTCTTCCCTCCCCAGCATCAGAAAGGTTGGGGGCCGTGAAATTGTAAAGCTGGCGCAAGACCCAATTCCAGCAGCACCACTTGAATGCAGTGCACGATGCTGGACCACAGATGGGCACCTTGGATCTGCAGGCTTGGGCAGGAGCAGGATAGCAGCCCCTGGGCCAGACAGGAGCTCACAAGAGCCAACTGGAAAACCCATGTCACCAGGCATTCCTAAAAAAGCAAAGCTGGGCTGGGAGTCCTGAACATTCATCCTGGGAGAGGTGGGGACCACAGCAGCCCCCCCACTGCTCACTTTGATGGCTCAGTCTGAGGAGGACTGGGTGAGACAGGCTGGACTGAAACCATCTGACCAGTCACAAAGCTCGGCCAGGGCGCTGGGTTCTGTCATCTGAACAGAGATGTTTGTAGAAATTAAAAACATGAACTCACCTCTCTCCCTGGAAAAGCCCTTCCAACTGAAGCTTCTCCCTTAGCTTCATTTTTTTTTTCAATACCAGTCACTAAAACCTAGTGATCATGATATTGTCTGTGAAAGAAAGCTAATTCAGCAACCCCCCTCCCCAACCTGGAGTTTTACAGTCTAAAAGAATTATTTTATCCAACACACTTTTGAAAATGCTACCTTTTTTCCCTCTCCTCGCCACATTTTGATGCTTCCATCCAAGAGCAAAATAGATTTGGATTATTCCAGGAGCAGAATTACCTGGCATTCTACCTTGGCCCCTGGGTGCTTACACAGATGGCTCTGGGCACGGGCAAGGCCGTGGGGAGGAGGTCTACACCCATCTCATCCACCCGCTGTGGGTTCATCAAAGTGAAAGTGTCAGTCGCTCAGTTGTGTCTGACTTTTTGCGACCTCATGAACTGCAGCCCACCAGGCTCCTCTGTCCATGAAATTCTCCAGGCAAGAATACTGGAGTGGTGGGTTGCCATTCCCTTCTTCGGGGAATCTTTTGGACCCAGGGGTCCAAACCCCCATCTCCTGCATTGCAGGCAGATTCTTTCCCATAGCTCCCTCTGAACACAGAGACCTCCTGCTCCTGCCAGACAGGGATGACGATACCAAGCCCTGGCAGGACTCTGGGCAGGAAGACGGGTCTCAGCTTAGCAGGCCTCCTCCCCTGCTAAAGCCATGTTGGCAGTGGTGACAAACTCTGAATCTTAACCTCAGTCCTCTTAGGAAGAGCTCACAAATTCTCAGTCCCACCTGCTTCCCATGAGCCCAGTTGTGTCATTCTTACACATTGATTGAATGTGAGCGTGTATGTGTGTGTGTGTTGATATATGACATGTGAGTACGGGTCCAGAGAAGCCTTGACCAACAACAGAACTGGAATCCCAGCTCGCCCTCCCAAAATCTGACAGCAGGATGAGTCAGGAAGCCACGACGGGCCCTGTTTTTTGATGGCAGACAATGCGGCAAGAAGCAGAACCATGGGAAGTGGTGATGCTATGGGCAGCTGGCTGAGAGGTGGGCTCTGCGTTCCAGAGGAATGCAGAGCCCACCTCCCCCTTCCCACCCCAGCTGCCCCCCCGCCCACCCCCAGCCAGGGCTGCTGGGCTGGCCTGGATTCCAGGGTCCCTCTCCCCATGCATCTCTCTCCTCCATCCCACAGAGACTAGGAGATACGGCAGCAGCCATGGACCTTCTCCTCCATCTCCTCTATGGGGGCCTTGAACTTCAAGAGCGGGGGATCTCCACTGGTGACCGTGTAATACACCGAGGTCCCGTTGCTGCTGTACGGAGAAGTTCTGCCTCCGATCAAGGGGGCCTTGCCTTCGCTGCTTCCCTCACCCGTCCTGGACACGCCGCTGCCCAGATGGGTGCTCAGGAAGGGGTGGCTGAGCAGCTTGGCCGCAGCCCGCTGCCTCTTCAGCTCCAGAAGCGTCTGGGGGCTCTGTTCCTTGTAGCCACTCCAGGACGGGGTGGCGTCGGCCACGCCAGGGTTGCCATAGGCCATGCTGTAGTCGGGCACCTCGTGCACTTTCCAGACGTCCCCGTTGGACAGCGCATACTGGTAGGTGCTGACCGGAGCCCGGAGGCCGTTCTCAACAGGCACGTCCATGTCGCTGCGTGGGATCTTGGTGGGAAACTCGGAGAGCAGCACGGGCTTCTCCAGCCTGGGGTTCTGAGGGTGAGAAGGACAACGTCATCAGCTGGCTGGGGGAGCTGAACCCCGCCCCGACTTGCGCCTCTACTGAGGGCATGATTGCTTGAACCTGTCCTCTTCCATTTTCCCTAACTGGGTAATAAGACCTTCATTTTCCTCTGGGGAACCGCGCCAGTCTGTGGGTTTTGATAGACCCAATTGACTCCCATCTTTGCTCGGGGAGAGAAGCCATGACCCCGGGACCTGGCCAATCAGTAAACTCACTATTGGAATTGGTTCAGGAATGGGTTCAGAAATTGGTTCCATGAAACTCAACCCTGGGACTTACTGCTAGAAAAATTGGGGAAGAGAAGCTCTGTTTCTGTAGGAACAGCAGGGGTGAGAATCATAAACTGGGGAGACAGCACACCAAAGGGCCTGCTTGGCTGTGAAACCAACATTAAGGAAGGAGAGACGACAGAGACACTGCACCCTCGTGATACGTTCTTTTTTTTTTTTTTTTTAAGATTTTTTGATATGGATCATTTTAAAAGTCTCTACTGCATTTATTACAACATTGCTTCTGTTTCTATGTTTTAGATTTTTGGCCTCGAGGCATGTGGGATCTTATCTCCCTGACCAGGGATTGAACCCGCAGCCCCTGAAATGGAGGGTAAAGTCTGAACCACTGGACTGCCAGGGAAGTCCCCTGATGATATGTTCTGAGCCATCAGATCCAGTTGGCCCAGACTTTCCAGTTACCCAAGCCAGTGCATTCTTTTTGTGTGTGTAAGTCAATCTTAACTGGGCTTTTTGGTCACTGAGAATTCTCTCTATATACTCCTGGGGTATCTCTGCTCCAAATGCGAGTGGTTCTTACTCAGAGATCTTTCCTACCCAGCAATCCCTGGGTAATGAGAGCTGTAAAAGGAGCTGCTACCTAGAAACTCTAAGGAAAAGGTGGATACATTTGACAGTAACAAAAATATAAAGCATACCAAAACTCACTATAAACAAGGTCAAAAGACACACAAAAAACTTCTTTTTTTTTTTGGCCACACAACAGCATGTGGGATCTGAGTTCCCCAGTCCCTGCCCCCTGCAATGGAAGCAAAGTCTAAAACACTGGACCACCAGGGAAGTCCCCCCACTTATTTTTCTATAAACCTAAAACTACTAAAAAAAAAATAAAGCCTATTTGTTAATAAATAAATAAATAAACAAATACAATGCCTGAGTCCAAAGCCTGGAGACTGATTTAATCAGCTGGGATTACCGCCTGGACATCAGTTTTAAAAAAAAACAAAAACAAAACGCCTCCCCAAGGTGATTTTCTTATACAATTTAGATAGTGAACCACTGGTTGAAGAGACAGGGTTGTCTCATCACGCTGTGCCGGCTATCAGGGAGTCAGCTCTGCCAAAAGTGGGTACCACGGCCAGCCCTGGGGGCTATCAGTGCACAGTCCTGTCAGAAACCTGACTTGGGAGTCAGGCTGAGCAAACACGCCCTCAGATCAGTGGTTCTCAAATACTTGCATGCATCCGAATCCTCTGGAGGGCTGGTTATAACACAGAGTACTGGGTCCCAGCCCAGGATTTATGATTCAGTCCATCTGGTGTGGGGCCTGAGAACCTGAGTTTCTCTTTTAATTGGAGGATAATTGCTTTAACTATGTTGTGTTGCTTTCTGCCGAACATCAACATGAATCAGCCATAGGTATGCATATAGCACCCCCTTGAACCTCCCTCCCGCCACCCCACCATCCCACCCCTCTAGGTTATCACAGAGCACCAGGTTGAGCTGGGCTTCCCTGGTGACTCAGTAAAGAATCTGCCTGCAATGCAGGAGACTTGGGTTCGAACCTTGTGTTGGGAAGACCCCCTGGAGGAGGGCATGTAACCCACTCCAGTATTCTTGCCTGAAGAATCCCACGGACAGAGGAGCCTGGAGGGCTACAGTTCATGGGGACCCAAAGAGTCGAACATGACTGAAGTGACTGAGCACACTCTCATATCTTTGGGGTGGAAGGGCTGCCTGGAAAAGGGAACGTAGGAGCATTCTGGGGTGACAGAAATGCGTATACTTTCATCTGAAGGTACACATTGGTAAGAGGTCATTGAAAATTTCATTTAAGATTTCTGGAGGTTATACAAGTTACACCTCTATCACAAAGAAACGATAATTAAAGCATATCGGGGAAGCATCTGAAATGTGATTTGATTTCGATCTACAACTCTCTTCTTTCCTAAGCCCCAGGCTCAGGTGGGAAGAGGCAGAACACAAGCTCCAAGTTGCGGGCTCCATCTCAGTCAGTGCTTCTATGGGGATTCTCTCTTTTTAAAAAACACTTTGAATCAAATCTTTTTTCAACATTTATTTGGCCGGGCTGGGTCTGTAGTTGTGGTTTATCCCCCGATCAGGGATCAAACCCAGGTCCCTTGCACTGGGAGCAAGAAGTCTTAGTCCTTGGACCACCAGGGAAGTCCCTCTTTTTTTTTTTTTAAACTTTTTATTTTATATTGGAGTATAGCTGATCAACAATGTTGTGATAGTTTCAGGTGGGTGGCAAAGGAACTCAGCGGTACCTATACGTGGATCTATTCTCCCCCAAACTCCCTTCACAATGGAGATTCTTTAGAGCATATGCCTTCACTCCTGCCAGCAAGACAAGCCCTCACTTGACCTCCTTGTTCACGCAGGGAAGCAGGGTCCCTCTGAGACATTTTGCATCCCTCCAAGCAACATTGACTAGAAATGTTTTCAGCCGCTCTTTGTGTGATGGTAGAACCACAAAGGCACACCACTGCTGGTATGGTCAGCCCCTTCCTTCTTGTGCCCGATAGTTCTGCTCTGGTCCCAAACTTGCATACTCCACCCAGCAAGACTGCAGCCAGGCATGGACCTGAATGCATCAGTACTGAGGCAAATGAAAAGTGAAAGTGAAAGTGAAGTCGCTCAGCCATGTCTGACTCTTTGTAACCCATGGACTGTAGCCTGCACCAGGCTTCTCCATCCATGGAATTTTCCAGGCAAGAATACTGGAGTGGGTTGCCATTTTCTTCTCCAGGCGATCTTCCCAACCCAGGGATCGAACCCGAGTCTCCAGCATTGCAGGCAGATGCTTAAATAGCATCCCCCCAAAACTCACATCCACCCCACATCTCTGAGTGTGACCCTATTTGGAAGTAGGGTCTTCACAGGTATAATCAGTTACATTAAGATGAGGTCACACTGGACAAGGGTGGACACTAATCCAATGACTGGTGTCTTTCTAAGAGAAAACAAAGACACAGACCCATATACAATGAAGGCCACATGGAGCCAGAGGCAGAGATTGGAGGCACGCTAGCAAAAAGCCAAGGAGTGCCCGAGCCGTCAGACGCTAGGAGACAGGCATGGAACAGAGTCCCCTTCCAATACCCAGAAGAAATCAAGCCTTTAGGCACCTTGATTTTTTTTTAGACTTCTGGCTTCCAGAGCTGTGAGAAAAGACATTTCTCTCACTTCAAGCCACCTATTCATTACAATAGTTCTCAGAAAACAATACAGCATCTTCTAAGGAAAGCGGTTTAACGCCCAAACCATTATCTACTCCTGGAGCCAGCTTCTTAGATGTTCTGCCAGCCCCCTACTACTTTTCAAAAATTTTCTTCCAACCCAATATCTCAACACAATTCTCAACATCTTGTTAGGTTTCCCCTAAAAAAGTTTTAGCACCCTTCTCTCCCAGAGTGGCTGCCCTATGGAACCTTCTCCTCTGGGAAGCCAGAACAAAATCTCTCTTCTGCTGGAGCTCAAGCAGACACATGGTGATCACTTGCTCCCTGGCAGTTATGAGCCCCTACTGTGTGCCAGTCACCCAGCTCTGGCAAACACATCCTACACTCGCCTCAAAAACCATGGTAGGCACCGCCATCAGACAGGATCCACCTGGTTTAAAGGCAATGGCCAGCTGACCTCCCTCCAAAGGCCCTGAGATGAAGAAGCAATGCCAAGCTGTGGTTCCAACTGTCCCCCTCCCCACGGCAGCGGTCAGTGGGGCAGGGCGCAAGGCAAGTTCTCACCGGGTCCTTATTCTCTTGGTCTGTCCTGGTCTCCCTGACGTCCCCGTTGTAGGTAGAGTTCCGCTGATCCTCGGATGCGCTCCGCTGCTGCCAGAGTATAGCCTCTCCCTCATACTCCTTCCTGTACAGGTTGGTCCTGTCGGACAGGCTGGCTCGACGTACCACCTTCCTAAGGGGAGACGGGGGTGGTGGGAGGCTGCTTCCAGGCTCCATGGGTGGGAGCATCCTTGGGCACCCCTGGTTGTCCCGCCCCCGACTCACCCTCGGCTGCCCGCGCTGGACGTCCTCCTGCTCAAAGATGACTTATGCCTCAGCTGCGACTTCATGATCACATCATGCTTGTGTTTCAGCTCCAACAGCAGGACTTTGAACTCCTCCTCTTCACACAGGTCTGAAAGCATGGAGGAGTCCATGGCGGGGCGGGGCGGGGGGTGCAGAAAAGGGGCTGGTGATCCCCGAGGGCCCTCCAGACCAGAGGAACAGCCATCCCAACCCACTGAAAACTCCAAGCATCTTTTGTGCTGTGGGTGGAGGGGCAAAAGCAGTGCCAGCCTTATTTCCTGGGCTACTACCCACTCCTTAGAAGAGTGTAAGCAGAAGAAACCCCAGGTCCTATGCACAGTCCCAATTCCCAGCTGTGACTGAAGGATTCATATGCCTTTGATCACTTCCAAGAGGAGTCATCAATCCTCCACTGATAGAAAATGTATCGAGAGAAACCAGCAGGTACCCCATGGAGCCCAAGCAAGACATTATGGAAAGATACTGAAATCATATATCCCCACCCACTCAATCCCTCTCATCTTTTAGTTCATCTGTCTACCTATTCGCTGAACCAGTCATCCATAGATTCATCCTCTACCCACCCATCCTCTTATTCATTCATCCATACATTGACCCACTTATTCACCCATTAATTTATTCATCAAACTATCCGTCTACCATCTATCCAACCATATATTCAACCATTTATCCTCCACTCATCAAAAAAAATCAATGAGTGCTGATGTATGTACCAGGTGTGGTCCTTCTGAACTTACCAATTGGCATCTCATCCATGGACGTCCTAGCACTGAGACTGGCCCCATGGGACACCAACAGCTCCGCCATCTGCATCTGAAATACAGGAAGAAGCCCAGGTTCCCCCCTGCCCATAGCTGAGAAAGCCTAGGAGTTGGAAAGAGTGAGTTCAAAGCTTCTTAGGATGTGATCCAACGAACAGTAGGGCAAAGCTGACTCCCAGGGGAGGCTCTGCCCCCTAAAGCCGGGAACTCCGACAAATGCAATGGGCTTGACACCTCCTCCAGCATGACTCAGCCATACCGAGGGACAGAAGGAGTCAGCGCTAACTCCAGAGAGGTCAGGTGTTTAAACAGGAATGGCGAAAACTACAGAGATTTCTGTCTGGGAAACAAGTGGAAAAACTCAAGACAGAAATGTGGGAACTTTTCTAATTTGGCAAATTGGATTGTCATCTTGTTAGGACACAACTTGACAATCCTTTTCGCAAACTCCGTAGGTCTTTTCACATCCTACACACTGGCTGTAGTCAACACCCTAAGTGGGTCTGGTGTTCTTTTGAACCAACTCCCAGCCCAAAGGTCAGCAGGGTGGCCACAAGCTGGCCTCTCTCACAGCCCTTTGGCTGATGACTACCTGTCCCCAGAAGGCAGCCGCGTGCAGGGGCTCCCAGCCATCCCAGTCCTTCACGTCCACGCGTACACCATGGTCCAGGAGAAGCTCGGCTGCCCGCAGGTATCCGTTGGCTCCAGCTATGTGCAGCTGAAGGAGAGGAGAGGGGTCAGCACTCCCCATGGGGGCTGGTCCCTCTGGTCCCTCATTTGGAGGCAGGATAGTCCATTCCCCGGCCCAAGGCCCAGATCATACTGGGGGCCGGTAGAATGGAACAGATGGAGGTGTAAATACCAGCCACGTTACAGAGCATTAGTAAGTCTGCAGTATGGAAACAGAAGGTAAGGAAGAGAGGTGAGTCCTTCTTCTCCGTCTTTGAGCCCCTGTCGTTAAGGCATCAGCATTTACTGAGTGCTTACTATGCACTGAGCCCTGTAGATGGGGCCTCAGAGGTCCAACAGAACACAGCCCTGATGGCCAGATGCCGCATCATCCGGGGATCAGGTTGCTGTAAGTTTCTAGCAAACAGAGGTTTGGGGTCTTTGTCTTTTTTTTTTTAATTTTCAGAAAAAAACAAAACAAAACAGGATGTGATCTGGAACAGGCACACACGAAAACTGATATCACTATCTGATTTATAAATGTTTGATGCTTGCCAGCTATTAAGAATGACACACAGCCGGCCAGACATTAAAAACTGTAGGGCCACATACATAGCTGGGAATAAAAAGTATGACTGGGAGATTGATACTGGTGGGTTTTTTTATTTTTTGTTTTACTAAAGTATAGCTGATTTACAGTGTTTCAGGTATATAGCAAAGCAATTCAATTATTCATCTGCATGTATTTTTTTCCAGATTTCCTTTCCCATTACAGGGGATTACAACTACCATTACATTGAATATAGTTCTCTGTGCTACACAGTAGGACCTTGTTCTTTATTATATAAATACAAGTGATCATGTTAATAATAATAATGAGTTCATCACCAGGATCTATTGAGAGTTTACAGGCTCTGTTGAGCACCTACATGCAGAATCTCATTTAGTCCTCCCAACAACCCCGTGGGGAAGGTACGCCTCCCTGCTTCACTGGGAAGGACTGAGACCTAGTGTGTGCCCAGCCATGTGAGTGAAGCCGCTCTGAGGCCACTCCAGGAGGAGCAGACCCCTGTGTCCACAGGGCTGAGCCACAGACCCGGTGGAGCCCCTTCCAGGGCAGGCAGTGTCCTGGCACAGCCTGGCCGTAACTTCGCCCAGTCTTCATGCAGCGTCCAGTCCAACTACCTGACTCAACTCCTGAGTGCTGGGCTGAGCAGGTGATCTGAGCGGGGACCCCTTTCTTAGAAAAGAGCATGAGGCACAAAAACCTAGAAAGAGGACTACATCCACTGTTGGGTATATATCCAAAGAAAATGAAAACACTAATTCGAAAAGACACAGGCGTCCCAATGTTCATAGCAGCATCATTTACTAGTGTCAAGATATGGAAACAACCTAAGTGTCCATCAACAGATGAATGGATAAAGAAAGTATGGTATATATAGACAATGGAATACAACTCAGCCATGAAATAATGGCATTTGCAGCAACATACGTAGACCTAGAGGGCATTATGTTTCATGAAAGAAGTCAGACAAAGATAAATACTCTATGTTATCACTTATACGTGAATTTAAAAAACAAACAAATATATGTAACAAAACAGAAACAGACTGACTAATAGAGACAGGGAAGGGGCAGGGGAAAGATAGGGGTAGAGGACTGAGAGACACAAACTACTATGTATAAAACAAATAAGTAAAGTGTATTGTACAGCACAAGGAAATATAGCCATTATTTTGTAACAATTTTTAATGGAGTATAATCTATAAAAAATATTGAATCACTGTGTTATACACCTGAAACTAGTATATTACAAAGCAACTCATATGTCACTGAAATAAACAAATAATCAATTTTAAAAGTTTTATTTAAAAAAAAAGAAAGGGGGATGAGGCAGAGGGTGGACTCAGGAATGGGGTGGGAGAAGTTCAATGATCACATCTGGGCTACCATGTCAAGCCTGAGGGACAGTGAGGGAACCTGGTACTGCTGAGCCCTACCTGAAAAGCTGAAGATTCTGAGACCCTGAGCGCTCACAATCGAATGGACCGCAAGCCTAGGACAGGATGGGCCTAGCCATGCGCAAGGTTGAGGGGGGCTTCCAAGGCCATATTCTAGTTCTCAGTTTAGAGGCTGCAGAAGCAGACCTCCCCAGTACTGAGCTGTATCATGCTATGAAAGCCTATGAAGAAAGATCAAGAAGGTTTCACTGACACTTGAATTTAAACAGTGAGTGAAGCTAATGAGGCAGATAGAGAAGATTCCATCATTCTCTGTCTCCAATGTCTAGTAAAGCATGTGGCACAGAGGATGTGTATGTTGACGGGATGGATGGGTGAACCAATGGATGGATGGGTGGACCAATGATGGATGGGTGGACCAATGGATGGATGGGTGGACCAGTGGATGGATCAGTGGACCAGTGGATGGATGGGAGGACCAATGGATGGATGCGTGAACCAATGGATGGATGTGTGAACCAATGGATGGATGGATGAACCAAAGATGGGTGGGTGAATCAGTGGATGGGTGAACCAAAGATGGGTGGGTCCCTGGGGGTGTCTGGGCTCTGAAGTCAGGGAACCAGAAGAGAGGCTGTTGCAGCAACATCAGGGACAGACAATGAAACAAGGCACTGAGGTGGGAGAGGGTACACTGAGGCAGGAGAATGAATGGTGCAAAGCAAGATGGCCTGGATGAGTGGATGAACGTGGCGCCCGTCTTGAAGCAGGAGACATCATGGGAAGAGGTGGAAATAATGAACTCAGAATGGATAGCTAGAGTGTAAGGTAAAGGAGAAGTTTGGAGACAGAAGAGGTGAACAGCAGAGTCAAGCCTCCCCAACTCACGGCTCCCAACTCCCAGCCCCAGCTTCTCAAAGCAGATGATTCCTGCTCTGCTAACTCTCCATATTCCAGGGGCAACCCTGTCCCCAAAAGGGGGAGGAACTTCAAGGCTACAGACAGGCCCCCACTGTGTAGGCTTGACCTCCACCCAGTGCTGGCCCCATTCAGCTCCAGCTGGTCTGGGTTCTGGTCCCGACCCCCCAGCCCAATCCAGCCTGGCCCCTCTCCTCACCAGTGTGGCCCCCTGGGCATCTACCCAGTCAAGGTCCTGGCCAGCTGCGATCATACAGTGAATGTCTGAAATCATCTGCTGCTCGGGAGCTGCCCGCATCTCGTTGATTTTCTCCTGGGTGATGCCTGCAGTGGGGGAGGGGGGATTGAGTCAGCACTCCCAGGCAGAGAACCCATGGGGGAGGGGAGGGAGGGCAGAGCGGGAAGGTATGACTCCCCTTTCCTAGGGTCTGCCAGTCAAGGGGGTAAACAGACGTGCTCAGAGGTCATTTCTCCCAGGCCCAGAGAAAAACGAACACCACGTGCTGGGCCATGAACAAGAGCCTGGAACCCAGTGGTGCTGTGTTAATATCAATGACTGTTACATACACAGCTCTTCTACCTGGCAGTCCCGACCACCCACCTACCCACCTCCTGGCTCCATCTCATCCTTTAGGTCCAGCCTGGATCTCATCCTTTAGGTCCAGCTGGCATCCCCTGCCCACTCTATCTGACCAGGTCTCTGTTCATTTCTTCCACTTCATCCACAGCTGTGTTTGCAGCACCAGGCACGATGCTCAGTGAATCTCTATTACAGCCACAACTGAATTACTGAATATATCACTTCTGAATGGAGAGCTGAATAAATCGAGGTGGAGGGACTCAGAAACACATTTTCAAGCCTGAATCTCTGGCTAAAATGTAAGTGTTACTGACAGCTACTAATGGAGTTTAAGGAGAGTGATTTGCTCTGAAAAAAAGGTCCATGAAAGCAAGCATTCTTGGATAGAACTCAGGGGAGGTCTGCAAACTTGAGGGGAGAAAAAGAAGGACCTGTTTATTTTCACTAACTTTTTGTTTGTTCATTTTTGGCTGTGTTGTGTCCCTGTTACTGTGTGTGGGCTTTCTCTAGCTGTGGCGAGTGGGATCTACTCTCTAGTTTTAGTGCCCAGACTTCTCAATGTGATGGCTTCTCGTGTTGGGGAGCAGGGGCTCTAGTGCACACGGGTTTAGTTGTCCAGGGGCATGTGGGATCCTCCTGGACCAGGGATCAAATCCATGTCCCCTGACTGCCAATGCATTCTTGGATTCTTAAACACTGGACCACCAGAGAAGTCCTATTTTCACTAACTTTTCAATGAGATATAGCATTTCCTTCTAGTCCAAATTCACAGTAGAATTGGCAGTGCCCACAACTTTGTCACCAACAGAAACTATAGGTATTTTTACACCATGTTATCTTATTGTTTCATGAATCAATGAAGTTTCTATATTACACATTTAAAAGTATTTGGTGAGCCCTACTTAAATAGCAGTCGTTTCCTTTATAATCCTATGGCTTTGATAAGTGCATTAAAAAATACAGAAGGGGTGGGTCCATAGATTCACCAGACTGGCACAAAAATTATTAGGAAGTTCTACAGAAAGTGGACAGGGAAAGCTCCAGGGCCAGGGAATGGGCAGGCCAAAAGGGCGGTTCCTGCAGCCATCTGGGCAGAAACACAAGGGCAGAGATGAGGGGAGGACCTCAGACTGCAGGCCAGGGTCTGGATTTGAGATATATTTCTAAAGAGGAGGCCTTTCAGGAGCATGTACTGGGGTGATGGGAGCGGGCTGGTCTCTGCTGCATTTGTTTCCTCTCTGAAGCTCATTTGTGAGCTGAGAACAGCCCACATCTTGTTTACCCGGGGTCCCTGGCAGCCCAAGTGGTGCCTGGCACAGAGCAGGCAGCCGTGAATGTTCTTGACTTTGTATTTTCCCAAATGGGAATATATCTTTATTGTGAATGTTTTGAATTGAACCGTCACAGCTGATGAAGAGATGGGGCCAGCTGAGGCTGCCCATGTGTGTGGGAGACACAGATGACAGCCAGGCCCCTCCTCGTGCACCGCGCGTTTTCCAGGCTTGTTCTGTGTTCGCATCTTGTCTATCACATGGGTAACAACCACCGTTGTTCACCTGCAAGGTAACTTGTTCACCTGCACTGATCTGAGAGATGCTCGCCACAGCCCCACACCCAGCCCACTTCCCAGCAGGCGGCCCTGCCCTTACCCTGGTACGCCATGCACGTCTCGATGACATCCAGGGTGGGCTCATCCTCACAGAGGTCATAGGGCATGTTCCCATCAGAGTTGACAGCGAGCAAGTCGGCTCCACTGCAGAGAGAGGACCAGGGTGAGGGCCAGGAACGTGCAGAGGGTTGGTCTGACTGCCTCGACTGTCCAGCCTCTCACCCACACCCCACTGGGCACCCCAACACCCACAACCCAACCACAGTGCAGCCCAGCAAGGACAGCATCTCCAGGATCTCAGGGGGCCTGGGGGGGAAGGGGCCACAGTCCCAGGAGAGCTGTGCCACTTTCCCCAGCTTCCTCCTCTGTTGAACCAGCAGGTAGGCACTTGAGGATAGATGTCAAATAAGAAAAGACAAAATGAATGGAGGCAGCACCACTTCCCAAGCATCTGCTAAGAGCCAGGCTTGATCTAAGGACTTTACACACATCATCTGATATAATCCTCATAATAGTCTTTTTGGTTGAGTACTATTGGCCCCATCTCACTCAAGAGAAAACAAGGTTCAGATAGGGTCAGTTACTTGTCTGAGGTCACACAGCTAGGATGTGGGAGGTTCAAGATGGAAACTTGGCTCTTTCATGGGCCAGCTCTTTTTACTTCTCCCTGTCCTATTTCAATCTTGGACCAAGTACAGAAACACCCAAGGCTACCCTAATTCCTCCTCTAAGTCCCTGACCCAAAGGCAAACCAAGACAGGGCAGGAAAAGGCCTTGGGACCCCGTGGGAGAATTTCCCTTTGGGGCCAGTGGCTCCCAAGCACATGGGCCTGGGCTGCCCTGTGGCAGAATCACTCAGACACCACTAAAATAAAATGAAGCTTCCTGGGCTCCACTTTAGACCTCCCAAAACAGAGTCTCTCAAGAGGATGGGGTGGGGTTGAGGATTACACATTTTAGACCCATGATTCTGGTACAGATTGACGCCGGGGACGGGTACCATGCTGGTATCCACTTCCTTTTCCTCTCACACCACCTCTGATTGGATGGTGGCCATCTGATGCTCCTGAAGACTTAGCCACACCCAGGTTCTCATTGGAGGTGTGGGCACGGGCCACCTGCCAGTCCTCTGACCTAACAGCCTTCCCCTGGGACCTCTCTTGAGCTCCCGTGTGCCCATGGGTAAGCTGATCCACCTCTCTGAGCCAGGGAAGCATCTCTAACATCCAAGCAGCCATTCGATGGGCCCTGGCTGCTCTGCTGAGACCTCTGCCAAAGGCCACTTGCCCTCAGCCGATATTCTTGAATCCCTGTGCTCAGGTGCTCCCCTGGGACTTCAGCCACCATTGATCTCGCTTTGTCTCGGTTCTGGGACTGAAATCACCTGATTTCCTGCTGAGTTTCTCAGGACTTCTGCGTCCCTGAGTGTTCAGTGCCCAGCACAGGGCTTGGCCCAGCTCAAATGCCCACCAATCATTAGATGAATTCAATGAAATACACTTGAAATTCAAGGTTGCCTCTTCTCTGTGTTTGGAGAGCCTGAGCAGACTGGAAAGAAGTTCAGGGTGGGGGAAAACTGTTCAGAACTCTACAGAGGGAAATGGCCTTATCCCTGGGAAAGACATTGCTATGTGGTGTCCCCCAAAGTAGGTTCTGCCCCCAAGAAAAGCATGTGGATGGGACTTGAGAGGGCAGAGCCAAGGAAATACGCCTGCTTTTTTATAGCAAGAAAAATGGCAACAACACATAAGTATGGAGATGAATAAAGGCTCGTGGGGACAGACAGAGAAAAAGAGATGAAAAGAAAGAGAATCATAGCCTGATACAAAGCCAAAGACACTACAAGAAAACTACAGACCAATATCCCTTATCAACAGTGATGCAAAACTCCTCAAGAAAATACAAGCAAACCAAATTCAGCAGCACAGTAGAAGGGTTATATGCCATGACCAAATGGGATTTATTCCTGGAATGCAAGGATGGTAAACTGTGTTGCGTATTTTATGACCATCATATCAGGAGAAAGGAAGGGAATGAAAAGAGAGGAAATGTGAATTAAGAGAGACACAGGGGAAAAGGCAACGTGAGATCAAGGAGGAAAGAAGACAGAGAGGGAAAACAGGAGAGAGAGACACAGGGATGGAAAGGGAATGTGGGGAGAAAAGGGATAGGCACCAAAGAGACAGAAAAAAAAGAGAGATGAAAGTCCTCCCCCGCCAAAAAAAAAAAAAAGAAACCTGGAAAAACACCAAAGGCGCACCCATGGCTGATTCATGTCAATGTATGGAAAAACCACTTCAATACTGTAAAGTAATTAGCCTCCAATTAAAATAAATAAATTAAAAAAAAAAACCAAAGGCGGAGGGAAGGCTGCTCCTGGGGGAGAGAGGGGCACGTACTACTGAACGAGGATCTTCACCAGGTTAATGTGGCCGCAGGTGGCCGCGGCATGTAGAGGCGTCCACAGCTCGTTGTCCTTGGCGTTCACGTTGGCACCGTGGGAAAGGAGCAACTTGACAATTTCCTCAAAGTTGTCGATGCAGCACTGCAAGGCGGACACAGGCAGGGTCAGCTCCGGGCAGGTCATGACGAGGGCACACCCAGTTCCCGAGAAGGACAAGGGAGCCAAGCTGCCTGCGTCTGAATCCAGCTCCATTACATACATGCTGTGTGATCACAGGCAAGCCACTTAACCTTTCTGAGCCTGTTTCCTTGTAAGTAAGTTAATAATGCACAAAATAAAAATACGAAAGACAATATAAAAAGTAAAGTCAGCTATAAGATTCTTTCCAAATGTTGGTGGAACGGGATGAAATTTCGAACAAGGCTTCAAAACCTTTACTTTTTAATTTCGGAAGGCTTTCTTCAAACAAAACTGTAAGGAGAACTCTAAGTTAGATAGCCAATAAATTCAAATAGAGAGGTTCAGGCTGAAGCTGGGGTGTGTGGGGGTGGGAGTGTTGAGAAGGTCCCCCTGCCCCATCAGTGGCCTCCTAGATTATAGCTTGAAACCTCTGACTTAGGAATTTCTGACCCAGAAGCTAGTTCTTGGGGAAGTCCCAAGTAACGAAGCCCCCCCTCAAAAACCCAGCTCCACCCGAGGGCTCTAGTGGGTCCTGATAAGAGTTCCTGCAAGGAGACAGCCACGTCTGTCCTCCTGCTTGTCGGCACAGGGGTCAGCCCCAGTGAGAGGGCAGCTCGCAGAGATACTGGGCTCCAAAAGCCACTGGAATCCCCAAACTCCAGAGAAAGAGAGCGAAAGATTCCAAGCGGACAGAGGGAGCTCAAGCCGGGGTCACGAACAGGGAGAGGAGAGGACAGGGCAGAAGATGGGGAGCCACTTTACAGGCTGCAGGAAGGATCTCGGATGACCTCCGGAGAAAGCAGCAGGGACAGGGCAGCGGACCTGTGGCTCAGAACTGCCCATCCAGGGAAGGCTCTGCCCTCAGTGCATGGGAGATGCTGCAGCGTTATACTCAGAGGAGCAGCACAATTCAAACTTGTTTTTTAAAAAAATCCCTCCTCCAGCTGCATGCGGAGAACAGACTTTGATCACAAGCTTCTGGAGGGAGAAGAGGGAGGGTGAGAAACTATGTCAAAATCATCCCATTTAAGAGATGATGGCGGCCTGACCTACAGAAGTGACCGTGGGCATGGGGAGAAGTGACTGGATGCCAGCAGAAAGAGCGGGGCACCTGTGGAAGCCCAGGGCCTCAGGGGGGTGCGGGGATGGGGCGGCACCACAGACCCCACCCCCATTCCCTGCAGAACCAGGGGTCAGAGGGACATCCTCAGTGGTCCGAAGGTTAAGACTCCGAGCACCCAATGCAGGGGACCTGGGTTCACTCCCTGGTCAGGGAACTAGATCCCGCATGCCACAACTAAAAGATCCCACATTCCACAAGTAAGACCTGGCGCACCCAAATACATACTTACATACATACCAAATACATGCATCCATACACACCACACACATAAATACACACCAAAATACATACATGTATACGTACCAAATACGTACACATCACACACACATACCAAATATATAAATACATACCAAATACATGCATACATACATAACAAATACATACATACATACTAAATACATACATATAGATTTAAAAAAGAAAAAAAGAGGGGTCAGTCCTGGACATATGGAACATACAGGAAATGAGCAGAGATGGTGCCAGGTTCTCTTCATGCACCTGGCACCATCTGACCTGGGGTTCGCTGGGTCTGGGGGCATCTCTCCAGGCAGGAAGGTCACGGGTGACCCAGTGGAGCAGGGCACTGCCTCAGGTGGTCGAGAGAACTGTGCAGTGGCGTGGCACCACCAGCAGAGGGCGCCAAAGGCACCAGAGTGAGGCAGCCTGGAAAGGCGAGGGTCCCCTGGAGGCCGTCACTGGCAGAAGAGTTTGGGATGGCCTGGTCCATAGGAGGAGCCAGGAGCAGCCCAGACTGTGGGGTGAGGGGACAGGAGGGCCAGAGATCCCACCACGAGGGGCTACAGAAATATGAAGACAGGCAGGGCGGTGGACAGGTGTAGTGATGACGCACATAGAATTGCTGTCGTGTGAGAAAGCAGCCCAGGGTCTGGGCCAGCCTGCAGCTGGGAAACTCGACCTGGGTGCAGGAATGCAGTGGGGGCTGGTACGTGGCGGAGGGGGGCAGCGTCCTCGCCTGCATTCCCCAAGGTGGGCCACGGCACCTGGCACTGGATGACTCCTCCCGCCCCCTCACTTCCCACGTTCAATCCATCACCCAGTGTGGATCGCGTCTCCTAAGAGCTGTCCCCATCCGCACTGCCCTGGCCGAGGCGTCATCATCTCTCTTTCTCCCTGTCACTCCCCTTTCACACACCCTCAGCCAGAGAGAGCTTCCTTGCTAACCCAGCCATGCTGTTCTCAGTTCACAAAACCTCTGAAGGCCCCCTGTTGCCAAGAGCAGAAAATCCATAGGAAGCTCTTGTCACTGAGCTCCTCTGTTGTCCTGGAGCAGTAGTGATGATGACAGTGGCATAACAACAGCCCCGGAAGAGCAGCAATAACAGGTCACATCGCCAACAATAAGAGCTCATGCTTTTTGAGGAGTTACTAGGGCCAGGCACTTTGCTAACTTTTGGCCACGCGTTGCCTCAGTGAATCCTCAGAAAAACATTTCCAGGGCTCTGTAGCCATGTGGGGCTAGAAGCTATGGTGCTAGACAGTGTCAATACACAGAACATGTCATCATCATAAAGGCTGTATTGGACGGTGCTGCCCTGAGGTACACCTCAGTTTCCTGAGCTGTAAAATGGGGATGATAGTATTTCAAAGACTTCTTGGGGTGATCAACCCACGCTTCACATATGTGAAGTGGTTTTGTCAAAAAGTGAACATATGACAGATTTCCATAATAATGAGTGAAAATCATTCAATCGTGTCTGACTCTTTGTGACCCCACGGACTGCAGCCCACCCGGCTCCTCTGTCCATGGAATTCTCTGGGCTAGAATAATGGAGTGGGCTGCCATTTCCTTCTCCAGGGGATCTTCCCGACCCAGGGATTGAACCTGGGTCTCCCGCATCGCAGGCCTATTCTTTACCATCTGAGACACCAGGGAAGTCCCTCCATAATAATAAACAATATCTAATATTTATACAGTGTCAGATGATGCTTATAGGGTTTTATGCATATTTATTTAATCTTCACAACAACCCAGTGACGTGGGTACTTGTTATGCCTCTCTTACGGATGAGGACAATGAGGCACAGAGAGCTTAAGCAACTTGCCCAAGGTCACACAGCTAGACTTTGTGGATGCAGGAAGCCCTACGAGACAGGAAGAGAAGCCAAGAGGACACGGGCAGCCCCCAAGCTGACGGCTGAGGGTGGGGACTTGCCCCCGGGGCTTGCGGCCAGGGCAGTGCCTACCTTTCCCCCCTCCGAGGGAGGTGGAGAGGGTCTCGCCAGCCCAGGGCTCCAGAGCCTGGCCAGGCTGCATTCAAGTCCACCTGCTCCGGAACTTGGGCCAGGGCACAGGCGGTTCAGTGTGTTCACTCATTAACTCAGCAGGCTCATATTGAGCACCTACTGTATGCCAACATGGTGGGGGACAAAGTGGATACACTTTGAGAAAGAGACATGATGAGCTCTGCCCTCGTGCGGTGCAGAGTCTTGGGTAAGCAGAGACCAATGCTAAATGGTCACGCTAATGGCTGGAAGGCTTCCCCGACAGCTCAGTTGGTAAGGAATCTGCCTGCAACGCAGGAGACCCCAGTTCGATTCCTGGGTCAGGAAGATCCGCTGGAGAAGGGATCGGCTACCCACTCCAGTTTTCTTGGGCTTCCCTTGTGGCTCAGCTGGTAAAGAATCTGCCCGCAATGCGGGGGACCTGGGTTCAATCCTGAGTTGGGAAGATCCCCTGGAGAAGGGAACAGTTATCCACTCCAGTATTCTGGCCTGGAAAGTTAAGAGTCGGACACGACCGAGAGACTTTCACTTTCACTTTCAGTGGCTGGAATGACAAGAGGTGCTCAGAGGAGGGGATGAGGATGTAACAGCACAGCTCTCAGATTCTAGCTGTGCACACACCTAAACACTGGGTGAGATGCGAGGGGGGAGCAGACAGTGTGTGCGAGGGACCGGGAAGTCAACAGCCGGAAGCCTGGCGGTCAGCGTAGCCGGTTCAGCAGGTGCACTGGGGCACTCCTCACCCTTAGTGTTATATAACAGCACAGCTCTCAGATTCTAGCTGTGCACACACCTAAACACTGGGTGAGATGCGAGGGGGGAGCAGACAGTGTGCGCGAGGGGCCGAGAAGTCAACAGCCGGAAGCCTGGCGGTCAGCGTAGCCGGTTCAGCAGGTGCACTGGGGCACTCCTCACCCTTAGTGTTATATAACAGCACAGCTCTCAGATTCTAGCTGTGCTCACACCTAAACACTGGGTGAGATGCGAGGGGGGAGCAGACAGTGTGTGCGAGGGGCCGAGAAGTCAACAGCCGGAAGCCTGGCGGTCAGCGTAGCCGGTTCAGCAGGTGCACTGGGGCACTCCTCACCCTTAGTGTTATGGGAAGACATGGGAGGGCTCTGAGTAACATCAGCAGATGTTGGGTCTGGGTATCCCTGCAGCCACAGCATGGAGGAGGATCAGGGCAGGGATGCCTGAACGCTGGGGACCAGGGAAGGGGCTGCTGCAGTGTGAGATGATGAGAGATGACAGCCAGAGAAGCCCCTCCCCAGCCAAGGGGGGCTTGGGCCCATCTCGCTGCCCTAAAGAGGCTGTGTGTTATGACAGCACAGGGTTCTGGCCAGAGTCCACGGCGCTGTGACCTTAGGCAGGTCCCACAACCTCCCTGTCAATCACTGCTGTCACCAGGGTGGACGGATCCTTGGTGGGTGTGAACGAACGTGCTTCGTACACTGTCAAGCTCCGAACAAACTTGCTCTGTGTGTCAAACCCTTTGCCAGGCAGCGAGGATGCAGCAGACAAAGGCTCCCTGTCCCCGGAGGCAGTGTGTGTGCCACGCACGTGGGCACGGGGCTCTACGGGCGTGTCTGTAACAGACACACTCGTCTCCCGGGCAGACAAGAGCCTTTCAGAAGTGGCAGCTGCGGCTCCCCTCCCCCTCCTCCCTGAGGGTCCTGGGCAGGAAAAAGCAGGGAGATGGGGCACGTGTCCAGGTGGGGAGCAGGCAGTCAGGGTCCTTACCTGGTGCAGGGCGGTGAGTCCATCTTCGTTACACAAATCAGGGCTGACCTTATTCTTCAGGAAGTAGCGCACTGCAACAGAGGGGAAAGAGGTGGCTGTCTTGTCACACAGTGCATGTGCAGGGGTGCGGGGGACCCAGGTAAGACCCACTGTCCCCCAGGTCCTGACACCATCAGTCTTATTTACTCCTTACAACCTTCCCTGTTCTATCCTCCCCCACCCACTCTAACCCTAGTTCCCATCCTGGACCCAAGTGCAAAGAGAAAGATGCGGGGTCAGAACACACATACTGGTACAACTTCTTTGCATCAATACATTCAAGTCTACCTGCTCAGAGACTTGGACCACGGCACAGGGAAGCATCAGTGAGTTCATTCATTATGTCAGTACACACATATTAAGCACCTACTGTATGCCATTATGGGGAAGAGTGTTGAAATACACCAAGGAGCAAGACATGGACTCTGCCCTCATGCGGCTCAGAGTTTGGGAAATGAAAGACCGACATCCAATGAGCAAATGCAGCAGCCCTGCAAGACCCTTTGCAGACCTCCACACTTTAGGTTACCCATCTCTGGTCAGTCTCCAGCCAGGCCACTCCCACGGGGTGAGGTGTCCCTGAGGCCAGGGGGATGAAGCCCATGGTTTCCCTTCTGGCCCATCTTCCCCTTCCCGGTTCCCACGGCTCCAGGGCCGAATGTAGAGCCTGCACAAGCCTTGTCCCCAGATCCAGCTTCCCCAGGGTGGACCACGCAGCAAGAAAGTGTGCCTCTAGGCTGAAGGGGCGACCACAGGGTGGCTGTTTGCAGAGCCAATGGAGGAACGTGGCTACACAAGCTGGCTTATGTGTGTGAGGCCCTCACGATGCTAAGAAAGCCGGGAACAGAGGCCAGGGTCCTGCAAAGGCAGGAGCAGGCCGGCCCTGGCCCCTCAGAGGCCCTCCCATGCCCACCTAGTCTGAAAGTGTGAGTCTAAGTTGTGTCTGACTCTCTGCGGCCCCATGGACAGAGAAGCCTGGCAGGCTACAGTCCATGGACCCTATGAACCCTATGGACGGTAGCCCACCAGGCTTCTCTGTCCATGGGATTCTCCAGGCAAGAATACTGGAGTGGGTAGCCATTCCTTCTCCAGGGGGGTCTTCTTGACCCAGGGATCTGGTCTCCCTCACTGCAGGCAGATACTTTTATCATCTGAGACACCACCTAGTCTGGCTCCCTCAACACACTAGCCGAAGTGCACCTCCCCTAATGCCCCCTGGGGGCAGTGTCTCCCCACCACCACCCACACGCTGGGTCAGGGCCACTGTGGTTTCCTAGCAGATTTGCCTCTGCTGTGGGGAGACAAACTGGAGTGAGCTGTGGAAGGGCAGAGGGCAGGTCGTCCATTCTACAGGCTGAATGTCCGCTGGGCAACCCAGTGGGTGGAGGGGAGGGAGATGAGGTCTCTGGAACCTCAATGGGATGAGGGCTGTCTTCATTAGGCTCAGATCCAGGAACCACAGGCCCAGCGGCACCCTTGGCCTGAGTGTGACCAGAGGTCCCTGCGAGGGGGAGCCTGAGGTCTCCACCCAACTTTCTGGCAAGAGGTGACATCTCCCACAGACTTGCCCGAGATGCTTTCATCACTGCTGGGGGTCACGGGGACAACGGGCTTATATATGGTTTACACTCAGGTCCTCTGAAGCTGCCCTGTCCACTGGGGAACCACTGGCCACAGCGAGCTCTTGGGGTTTTTCAAACGTTAACTTGTAAAAATTCAAAATTCACTTCCCTCAGTCACTCTGGACACATTTTAAGGACTCAACAACTACAAAGCAAAAGTGTTAGTTGCTCAGTCAGGTCCGACTCTTTTGCAACTCCACGGACTGTAGCCTGCCAGGCTCCTCTGTCTGTGGAATTCTCCAGGCAAGAATACTGGAGTGGGTTGCCATTTCCTACTCTAGGGCATCTTCCTGACCTAAGGATCGAACCAAGGTCTCCCACGTTGCAGGCAGATTCTTTACCGTCTGAGCCACCAGAGAAGCCCCCAACAACTACAGGTGGCTACCACATTAGAAAGTGCACAAATAGAACATTTCCCATCTTCACAAAAAGTTCTATTGGACAGCGCTGTTTTGGGGCATTACACGTGGAAATTAACTGCATTACCAACTGCTCAGACCCTCCCGTGGCTCCCTACTGTTCTGGAAACAAGCGCAAAACCCTGACGATGGTGCAGAAGGTCCACCTGATGTGTGCCCTGTCTGCAGGCCTCCATCTCACACAGTTCCAGCGGGACCATTCATTCACACTGTGGCCTGTGAGAATGGCACCCGCTTAGGGCAGAGGAGTTTGCTCAGCTGTATACAGTACTCCCAACCTACCTGCCTCTCCAGTCTCATTTCTTAAACTCCGAACACCTTCCACATTGGTCTTTTGTTAGCTACAGAGTCACCAAATTCCCTTTGATCTCTGAACTTTTGCACTGCCTGTTTCCATTACCTGGACAACTTAGTCATCCACGCATGCATCCATCCATCCATCTAGCCTCACCCATTCATCCACCCATCCACCATCCATCCACCTACCTGCATCCATGCATCCATCCAGCCATCCACCCACCCATCCACCATCTATCAATCCACCTAACGGCATCCATTCATCCACCTATTCATCCACCCATCCACCATCTATCCACCCACCTGCATCCATTCACCCATCCAGTCATCCACCCATCCACCAATCATCCATCCACCCAGAGCCATGCATTCTATCTCTTAACACACACACACACACACACACACACACACACACACACACACACACACCTGTCTCACTCCTCATCCTTCACATCTCAGCTAAAACTTCCCAGATGAAGGCACTCCCCCGTTCTGCACATCCACAGCATCTATACATCTCATATATAGCCTTATCACAACCATAATTACATAACTATTTGGGTAATTATGATGGGCTTTGGGTCTGTCTGCTGTGACCTGGCACTCACTGCTGAGGTCTGCCACACAGTAAATCTTCAACAACCCTTCCAGGACCCTGATTTACTTGGTGGCCTCCTATCTCAGTCCAAGGACACAGCTTATCCATATCTCAGCACAGCAGACCACCCTGCAGGGCTGACCCGAATGGCTCACATATGGAGTATTCAGCGCTGCCCACAAGCACCTCCTACCAGGATGCACGGTACTGGTCTCAGCCTCAAGGCCACGTTGAGAACACTATGGCAAAGCCACTGATCACTGTGGCCCAGCCTGTCCACAGGCCACAGGGGTGCCCTGGGCCTGACAGCTGGCCTTTGGAAGAGAAGTGACCATGGCGTCCCTGGGCATCACAGAAGGTTCTAGAAGGTTCTGCTGCCATTAGGCCAGGGTTCAAATCCTTTGGGGGTGGCTGGTGAACTAGGCTTCCGGTCCGGGAGACGCTCTTTGAGGCAGAATTTAAGCGTCAGCTGCCAAAAGCAGTCTTTGTGTGCAGTAATTATTGGGGTGTTCTCTGTGCGACGTGGGAACCTAAGGCATATAATTACTCCAGTGTCGGCAGTTATTTTCAGCCCAAGAGGTGGGACAAGTCATCTCCGTCTCTAAGGAGCCGTCGATAGTCATGACCCAAGGTCCCCCGCCTGGTTCTGGACACAACCCACTGGAGCAAAGACTCCACCATCCAGGACCTAGCCAGGCTTTCCTGCCTCTGGGGTTCAACAGCAAAATGATTCTTCTGGACTTCCCTGGTGGTCTAATGGTTAGGAATCTGCCCTGCCAATGCAGGGGACACGGTTTGATTCCCTGGTCTGGGAAAACTCCACATGCCGCAGGGCGACTAAGCTCGTGCGCCACCACTACTGAGCCCACAGCTCTAGAGCCTGTGCTCTGCAACGAGAGAAGCCACCGCAAGGAGAAGCCCGCACCCCGCAACTAGAGAGTAGCCCCTGCTCATTGCAACCAGAGAAAGCCCTCTTGCAGCAACAAAGACCCAGTGCAGCCATAAACAAATAAAGACATTTTTAATGTTAAAAAACCGATTCCTCTATTCCTGTATCAACACTGTCTTCTTACTGAGCCCCTCCTATGCACCCAGGTCGATGCACAACTGCTTTGTTTCATGGGTTCATGTCTAATCATTCCTCCTATGGAGAAATGGAGACAGAGGCTCAGGGAAGTACAGCTCACCGCCACATGAGACGGAGTAGAGGAAATCAGACCCTCTGATTTCTAAGCCCAGACTCTTGACCACAAGGCTGCTCTTTTCTGCCCCTGGGGCCAGGCATGGCGACCAGCAGTGCTGGAGTATTCAGAGCTGGGCCAAACGCTGGTGCGGGGAGGAGGGGGATGGGAGCATGGGCAGAGTGACCTCCTCTCTGTAAGCATCGGAGGCCCTTGAGTCCCAGGCCAAGCCTCTTCTTGCAGACAGAGGGGCTCAGAGATCTACAGCCAGGACAGCAGAAACACCGCAGCCCCCAGAGGGCATGGAGAGACATCTCAAGGGCCAAGTTAAACACAAAGTTGCTTCCTCTCACTCCCTACTTAAAACTCTCTCCTGGCTCCATACTGCTCTTAGACTAGAGTTCAGGGCTTCCCTGGGGGCTCGGTGGTAAAGAATCTGCCTGCCAACGCAGGAGACGCAGTTTCGACCCCTGGTCCAGGAAGATCCCACAGGCCATGGAGCAATAGAACCTGTGCTCCAGAGCCTAGGAGCTGCAGCTACTGAAGCCTGGGTGCCCTAGAGCCCGTGCTCCACAAGAGAAGCCACAGTGATGAGAAGCCCACACACCAAAGCTAGAGAGTAGGCGCTGCTCGCCACAGCTAGAGAAAAGCCCGTGCAGCAACAAAGGCCTGGCACAGCCTAAATAAATAAATAAATAAAATTATACATAAAAAGAACAGAGTTCAGAATTCTTCCTTGGCCTTCACTGGGTCAGCAAACTATGGCCCATAGGCTGTATATGGCAGGCAGCCTGTTCCGATAAATGAAAATTTCTTGGAACACATCTGCACTCATTCATTTACATACTGCCTGTGACTTCTTTTACCCTACAACACCAGAGTTGATTAGTTACAGCAGAGACATATGGCCCAGAC